TTCAGGAAGGAACCGTGCGTCTTTAAAAATTCGTTCGAAGCAGAAATCTGATACTGCATTTGATTTTCTTTTAGTTAGCGAGTTATCCATATCACACGAACTGCAGTTACGAATAAATCAAGGAATTAATTTTTAATAGACAATTTCCCAACCCCGATCATAAACTTAACTGCTCGCATAGTTAACGGCGGTCTCCACGTATGACATCCAGCTCTAGACTTTTCAGTTTGTCGTCATTTTTGTTGATCTACCAAACGCTTCTTCCATCGGATAGCCAGTCCATCCATCTTTGTACCCCCTTTACTATATAAAAACGAGTGTAAGATACATGTATTTGTGTCGTTCCTTCAGTTTCTATGGAAGTAATTTTTGTCACATTATATTTCCGTATAGCTTTATATTAAAGAAAACATAAATAGCAATGCTAATTTTGAAAATCAAGAAATTGCCGCGCGCCGACCACCGATATATTTTACACATTTTAAATGCGGTTTCTAAATACATATGATATTCAAACATTATAGTATATGGTCAAAATGACGAAAATATCATTTCCCAACATTGTGCCAAAAATGAATAATTTCGGTCAGTTAGTTTATGAAATATTTAAAGAATTAGCGTTTTTCTAGGACATTATTTCGATGACGTTTTAACAATTAACAATATACGTTGGTTAGATATTCACATCGAACTCGAAATAACAGACACCACGGAATATGACACATCTGCTTCCTATTTGGACATTTTACAAGAGAAAGACATTGATGGCAAACTAACAATTTAACATGATGACTTCAACTTTTCTATTATTAAATTCCATAATCTGTATAGCATGTACCATTATCACTTGCATATGCAGTTTATGTCTCCAAGCAGACACTACTAAAGAGCATGTTCTGCGTACGAAGAATCTCTGAAACGAGGCAGACTTCTGATAAATACATTGATAATACAAGGGTATCTACTACAATATCGCTTAATTTCAACATTTTACAAATCGTATGGTCGATACAATGACCTTGTTAGTAAATACATTCCCGTTAGGTCGAATATTGATGGAGGTTTGTCATGCACTTTGATTTGGCCATAATATTTATACTATGTATTTGTCCGTTTATCCGATCATGACAAAGAGCACATGGCAGGTGTGACAGTTCGACAGGGGATGCTAAATACTAGTGATCCTTGACACCTGATCCTTTCCTCCGATGTTTTCAGAGGTCCTCGTTTGCTCTGCACACAATTTATATTGTTTCCTTAGGATTTTTTTTTAGCATGGTGACTGTTCATTATCTTCACATTTAATTCAATGAAATTGTGTATGTACGGAAAAATAGTGCGAACACCTTAACAGAAGTAGAAATCCATTTTAAGGTTTATTTCTCGTTGCTTTTTCGGTGGTTTTGCAGATGCAAAAGTGTCCATTTTTAAATTTTTTAAATTCTGTTAATGCATCAGGATTGGTTTGGAGAGAGAAGGCTAAGTGATAGGAATAATGTCCGAATAATGTCCGCTAAGAAAGATTAACGGTGAATTGGTTTTGTCGTTTATTTCTTTTTAGTTTACCTGTTTCAAGAGCTCAAAGCAGCTTTTCTGATCAAAGAGTGTCCTTCTCCGTCATGGTAGTCAAAGGAAAAACCAAGCTTTTTTTCATGGGGAGATTATTAAGAAAAAATTATAATATTATGAGTTTTTTCCTAGTAAGTACTCTTCTACATTTGTCCCGAGGTCAGGATAGGACTTATAAATAGGAGGTCAAAGTTTAACAAAGAAATATACTGATTACAATAAATACATGGTAAAATGTTATTGATAAATTAAGATACATACAGGTTAGTCACTTAAGAGAACTATGAATTGATAGCGAACAAATGTTGTGAACAATACAGTCTCTTAAGAATTTCACAATCATTGTTTAAGGTTATAAAATATCAATATTTAGTAAGACTCCACTGACACTAATGACTGAAAGTCTGAAAAAGGCTTCTCATGGAATATTTTGATTGTCTACAAACAGTCTTGAAATGCTATCTCATTCTAACTGTAGAGATTGGACCAACTGTTGCTGGGTCTGAGATTGTAGTTGCCTTTGGTAAGTCTGCCTTTTCAGTTCGTAACATGCTTTCATGCTCAAACTAAATGGGATTAAATCCGACGATTTAGATGGCCCAGGAAAAACTGGATGTTTTTGCTTTACAAGAATGCTTTTGTAAGACGAGCAGTATGTGGGCTTGCATTGTTATGTAAAAATCGGCTCCAGGATGCTCCATTATTTGAAAAATATGTAATGGTAAGGTTAGAAATAGATGCATAATTACTAGGAATGTCAACGAATAGTCGAGTATTCGACTATCAGTCGAATGGACTAACGATCGAATAATGAAACGACATTCGAATAAATTAATTCCAGAAAAGAGTGATAAAGAGATGGAATTCTCATACTAAAATTGAGAAACCGTCTTTCCTCAGGCACAGTCGATAAGATAATTTTCCTCATTAAAAACTCCTAACTTTAAATGTAGAATGAACAGTGATTTGAAATGCTTCACTTCCGCGAGAATTATTTGTCAATTAATGTGTTGTTTTTGTAATGAAATTATCTCACTATACTGGGCTTTGTTTGTAAATTATTAATTGGACTTGATATCATACCATGTACCCATTATAGCCGTGACATGTTTGGACACTACGATAATTATTATAAGATTAATATTCTTTTACATATTTTAAAGACATTTTGATTATTGGTACAAAAGGTATATTCAAATATATAACATTATCACAGACACCGTGTGCCCCCCCCCCCCCCAACATTTTGATAAGCTTTTAAAAAAATACCGTACTGTCATTTTTTATGCTTCCTAAAAATACGACTTCACAGACCGATTTATGAACATGATTGACGGGGAAATCATACATTTTGGAGAAATTAGCGGTCTATATTTAGTAAATACGAGTCGTCCCAGGAAAACTCGAACATTTTCAATATCTTTTGTTTCACTAACACTATAAAGTTAAAAATTGGCATACACCATAACCAAAATTTTTGAATAATGCATAAAAATTTCAATAAAACATATCTATAAATAACATTTTTCTCTCAGATAAACGAATCTTACAAAAGAGCAATCGGCGCAACACTGACGACGTCAAAACGTAACTCGTGGCGTTTGTGAATTTATTAAGGAATCGTGGGTCTGATTAAATTCGTTTGAAGCATAAATTCGACGCTGTATTTAATTTTCTTTTAGTTATCAAGTTATCCATCTCAGGTATTAATTTGCGTTTTTGAAAGATCGCGGAATTAATTCTTTTAATGAACTTTAACAATTTCCAAACTCAGGTCATAAGTGAACCTAACTGTTCTCTCAGTTGTGAGGCCGTCGCCACGTATTACGTCCGGCTTCTGACTTTTCAGTTTGTTGGTCTACCAAACGCTTCTTCCATCAAATAACCAGTCAAGCCATCCTCGTACCTCTTGAACTAGGTATAAATCTGTCCGAAATATATGTTTGTGTCGTTCCATCGTTTACATATCTTTTTTCCCGTGTGGACAGGAGTCATATCCCGCTCAACAGTACTGCTTGATAATTTGGTGCTCCGTATTCTCGCCCGACGTCACTATTTTTGACAATATCTAATCTAAGGTGTTTTTGCATCTAACGTCATATTTTTGTCATTTGTGACGCTAAATTAATTAATTTTTACACATGAGTACTTCAGATCATAGAGATTTATGGAGGTAATTTTTTCCCATTATATTTCCGTATAGTCTGGTAATAAAGAAAACTTCTCTGACCCTGCTATTACTAAAACTCGAAAAATTGCCGTGCGCCGAGCACTGATATTTGACACCCTTTAAAAGCGATTTTTACATGCATATGACATTAAAACTTTACAATATTTTGTCAAAATAAAAAAATATTTCATTTCCCAACAAGGTGCAAAAAATTATTTATTTTGGTCGAATAGTTTTTGAAATATTCAAAAAGTTAGCGTTTTTTTGGGACAACCCTCGTATAAACACGCTATCTACATTTTAGGTCCATGTGAACATCTGTGTGTAACATTTGATGTAACTTTTCAATAAATAAAAAAAAAGGGATTTGGGGTTAAATATGTCATGTACCAGTGAAGTTTGAAACAAAATTTTAGTTTCCAAAAAAGTTTCGAATATATTCGACCATCGTTCGAATAATGCAATCGAATATTCGACTAAAGGAAATGAATATTTTGACATTCCTAATAATTACAAATACGTTTAGATCATTTTATTTGATTGATTGATTGATTGTATATTGTTTTACGTCCCATTCGAGAATTTTTCACTCATATAGAGACGTCACCATATACCGGTGAAGGGCTTCAAATTTTGACCTTTACTCGGCACCCAGGGCCATTGAGCAGTGAGGGATCTTTATCGTGCCAACGCCTGCCGTGACACGGGGCCTCGGTTTTCAAGGTCTCATCCGAAGGACCCGCAACTTTCACTTCAAAGTGCCGAGCGCATGGCGAAGGAACTTAGGTCTGTCGCGGTCGAGATTCGAACTCACGACCTCCCGATCACGGAGCGAGCGCTCTACCGACTGAGCTACCGTGAACGGTTCATTTTATTTGAAAAAAAAGATTACTTCGAAGTAGTAGAATTGTCTAATTATGAAAACTGTTTTATACTGAAACTTGTGATATATTTTATATGTCCACAGAGTATAAGAATTCGTATATTTTTGTTTTAAAAGTGTACAATCAGAAGCCACTTGTGCATGGCAGGCCTCATTAAAGAAGTTAATGTTAAAATTTCAATTTGATACATCAAAAACTTCAAAATTTTGCTCATTAATATTCAAATCCAATCGGAATCATCTGGTTACTTTATAGGTCAAAGACAAAAATTAATAACAAGTTTTACAAAAATATGCAAATTTTTAATTATCAAATCTGTACAAATATGCAAAATTCAGACTTGTTTGTAGTTTGAGGCATCACTTTTATGATTTATGCATTTGAATGTCAATTATCTGCATATCCGTTTCTGAGAAGAGTCACAATTTTTTGCATATCTCTGGATAATAAGAAGTGATATAGATGTCGACTGGCGGCAGACAACTCGTTGTAAGTGAGCGGAACTGTGGCCGGGTTTTGCAGTGATGGAATCACACGGTCCCGATTCACTATAACTGTGTAGAATTCGCAAATGAGATCTTGTAAATAACTGTAAATATCATTGATAACAGAACTATAAGATATCCTATCTGAGGACTCTTCCAGTTTTTTCATATGTTCCACAAAAGGCCATATATTAAGGAGAACTTGATAGTCTCGAATAAGCTGTTCATCGATATCCTGAAATGATAAAATTGGAACATAAATATGAATGTCATGACTCAGCTTTATGAAGAAAAATAAGAAATTTCACTCAAAACTTACTTCGCCAACATTTTGCAAATTGAAAACTGGAAATCCATCTAAACCTTCAGATGAACCAATGGCTTCGAGCAAATGCTGATCACCCCTCAGTCCTCTTTCTTTCTATTTCATTACAAAGGAACTAATTAGATATTGCTATTTAAAGGCGTACATATCTTTTTCTGGCAAATAAACTCCTTAAAGTGAAAAGGAACATGTACCAGGAATGGTATACACATTTTCTTTAAATTTGCATTTGGATTTTTTTAATCGTTGAACAATAGCCCATATGATAGCAGTAGCAATTGGTTGTTTAAAAATCACAAGAACTGAAGTAGTGAATTAGTAATTGTATCTTATTCCACCAAAAGGGGTGTCCCTTTTTTAAAATTTCAAAATTAAAAAGCTAGATACTGCTATAAGACAGAAAACACTGACGTGAGTTTGTGTCGAAAATTATTCTCCTTTGTACATAGCCTACTAGCGAAGAATCGACAAAAGTTTGTAATTTACATAAATATACATGTATCAAATTTATCAGAAGATGTTTCGGTGAGCATGTCGTCCATCGGCCTCTTCTGTTAGAATTCCATGCAAAAATTCATATAACCAACCCGAAACAAACCAATTCAAAAATAATAAATTCAACTCTAAAAGGGGATTTTTGAAAGGAAGGTTTTGATAAAAAAACAAAAAAAACAAAAAACAATTGGCTCCTAAATTTGCCTCCTTGATGAAAAAAACCCCGTATTGCATATCTACAAGACACTACAATCATATTCTATAACTTGATTTGTCAACTTTCTTTTGTTATATAGGTTACGAGGTAATAGATTAAACAGCTGATATGTAATTATTACCAATTTTGTTGCTTTAAAATGATACTACAAGAAAACATAAATTATTCTGAAAGTTCAAAATTGATTTTATTATAGACTACCGCTGATAGTAATGTAGGATTGATTAATAGTATATTTTTTAACGTCCCATTCGAGAATTTTTCACTCAGATAGAGGCGTCACCGTATGCCGGTGAAGGGCTTCAAATTTAGACCTTTACTCGGCACTCAGGGCCATTGAGATGTGACTGTTCTTTATCGTGCCAACGCCTTAGGTGACATAGGATCTCAGTTTTTAAAATTTCTTCTAAAAGACTTGTGACTTTCACTTCTAGTGCCGGTCGCTTGGCGAAGGAACAGTCACTTCCTATCTTTACGTCTTAGGTTTGACGCAGCGCATCGGACAAGAATCGGAACCCGGGCCTCCTGATCATAAAGCGAGCGCCCTACACCTAGGCTAGTGATGTAGGAGTGAGATAGGAGAAATCCCGGATAGTGTTATGGGAGAAATTATCGTACCATAGTTGCTTTTTAATAGTCGTATATAATAAAGTACTTGTAAATTCAGACATATGATCAAAAAGTCCGATGAAGTTTTGATCTCTTTTTTAAAACAAATAAATTCCAAATGTTATTAAAAAATTGACTTGACGTGTATTTTCTTATATACTACTGTGGATTCATAAGATTTCGTGGTGGCTCAATACTCGTAGAATTCGTGGGTACGCTGCATCCAAAAGTACACATCCTCATTGAATAAATAATGAGGTTTTAAAAGCCTTCTTTCTTGTGTAGATATGAGTGAATACAAGAAATTACGACCCTCGAACATGTAAAATTTTGACAATCCACAAAAATTGGCATCAACGAATGTTAATGATTTCACAGTATTGCAATTAATTAAAAATATTGAAAGTGATATACTTACAAGTGTATCTATAAAATCTCCTAAGTTCCTTAAAAAAAGCTGAAATTTTTGTAGAAGGCGTGGAATGGCATCTTCTACAGTTTCTGATACAGTCATTTGAAAAACATTGTTTCTTTCACGACTTCCTGCGCACATGTTTACAGGAGAGCAATCTGTTTTATAATTGTCCAACATAAAGATGAAAAAAGCAAAGTAGGATAAACCTACAATGAAATGTAAAGATAAAAAGATTAAAAAAAAAAAGGATCGTTCTCATCCATTTAAACAATGCAATTCATGAGCAAAGCCAACAATGACCTTTGAAAACAGCGATGGTGCAAGGTGCCATCAAAAAGAATATATGAAAAACCATGAAGTAAAATAAAAACCCTATGAAGTTATTTTTTAAGGTAGTTTTGAAAATATTAGCCTCAATGATGAAATGAAACCAAAAAAATCATTTTTTATTTAAATATTTTAACTTATCATAAAAGTTACCTTTTATATTCCTCATTGCATTTATTTTGCCAAAAAGTGATAAAATAATAATAAATACTTAAATAAATACATTCACCACAATTTCATTGAGACAGCTATTTTCAAAACTTTGCAAAAACCGAAGACCTTAACGACTTTCTTTTAGAATTTACAAACATAAGCAAAATAAAAAAAAAATATACCCACTTATCGATTTCAGCATGACAGAGGACAACATTTAGCTTAGACAAGCATTTGTTCCTTCACGATTTACTGTCTTTTATAGGCATAATGCGTTCACACCCCCTCAGTGGCGTGAGTTTAATACTGTCATTCTTCAGACTTCATTAAGTAAAAAATAATTTCAATAATTTTAGGGGAGGCCAGCATCGCTTAATTTGTTTTCCCCTCACAAAATGAAACATATTGTTCATTAGTAAGTATCGCCTTAAAGTACATTGACTATTTTTTTTAATATCATATACAAAAAGTATCATCATTTTTCTCTATCGTTGACAGCTACTGTAGATTCCTAAATATACGCGAGGGAAATATTATCACGTAATTTTGAGGAAAGCTCAACTCGCGAAATTGAATTACCCGCTATTATTTTTATGGCGAATAAATGTATGTAAAATCTCTAGATCAATTGTCCACTCGAGAATTATTGTTCTCGCGATTTGACGTACTACGGCCATTTCGCGATATTAAATACTCGCGTAAAATAAAGAATCTACAGTATCACACTTCAATCTTTTCATGTGATGTATCAAACTACATCACATTACCAAGAAATCAACATCTTACAAAGTGATTGTTTATATTTTAAGATTCTAAAAAAAAAAATTCAAAATTAGAAACAATCTTCTCTAAACCAACGTTAATGACGTCACAATAGTCTTTTTTTCTTTAAAAAGTTAGTCAAATTTAAAAACAGATACATCAGCTGCTTTTTTAATAGTGATGTCATATTATGTCGTAAAAATGCCTTATATGAGAAACTACTGAGTATTAGAAACATTAATTTAAAGATATTTCTCATAAAGTGATATAAACAATAATTAAACAAATGTAGCCTTTTGATTCGGTACAATCCTTAGTAATGTATACCTTAGAGAAAGCATGTTGACCTCGCACTGCGTTCTCGGTCGATATGCTTTCTCTATGATCTATATATCTAGAGATCGACCTCATTAAAAGGCTACATTTGTACAGTATTTGTTTTAGTGTATGTGTGTGTTTTTGTTGTTTAACGTCCATCTTGAGAATTTTCCCCTCATATGGAGACGTCACCACTTGCCGGTGGAGGGCTGCAGATTTTAGTCCTTTACTTGGTACCCAGGACCATTGAGCAGTGAGGGATATTTTTCGTGCCAGCACTTACTGCGACGCGGGACCTTGGTTTATACAGTCTCATCCGAAGGACCGGTCTCCACATCCCGCAGTGGGATTCGAACCCGCGTATTTAGGAACAACTCTTTACACCACGACTGTAGAGCAAACGCTCTAACGACTGCGCCTCGCGGGCGACTATTTGTATAGTATATCTCATATTAATCTTATAAGCACTTAATTCATATGAACAGGGTAGATAATCACAAAATAATTAATTTTTAGATCCATTAAAACACACACAGACTCATAATGATTGCATGAATTTTTATTATTTCATATCTTCATGACAAATGTTTGATATTTTCACATCATACATACATGTATACATGTACTAGTATTCCACCATTATTGTCTATTCTTCAAACTTCTGTAATCAAGGAATATAATGTTATTTTAATTGAAGGATGTAAAGTGGGTAATTGTTTTGTTTCAAGTTTTAGATCATAAAATTAGGACTTCGTGATATGTTTTCACTTTTTGAATCTGATATGAATGAAAATTCCCCTAAAGAGTCTGTCGCTTCACTTTCCTAAGATTTTGTGTCTAAAATGTCTAGTTTTATATGTGCTTTTAATGCAAAGGAACACTTGAAGAATACTTCTGAGATTTTTTTTCTCTCGCTTTAACAATGAGTTTATTGATTGAGAATGGAGATTTATCAACTTTTCAACAAAATTAGGAGACAAAGTGCATTTTGTTTCCGCTTAACTCAGCATCAGCATAGACTATGTAACTATGCTTTTATCTTACTCATGCATTTGTATCATTCGACGCAGAAGCTTACAAAAATGGGATCTGTATTTTTAACTAAAATTGGTGGCATTGTAAGATATTACTCATTTTTTTAATGAAAGAATACAACGTTATGACTTTGGACGTATATTTTATTTGACCAGTGATAATTGGAAGGTAAATAATTTCGATCAATGTTAATAAATTAGTGAGTCTAAAGGGCATGTTTTTTTTACAGTAACATTCCAGATCATTCTCTCCTGTCTGATAAAACTTGGTCGTACTGAAAACATACTCTTGCGTATCGAATAAGTTAGGAAACAAAAACATCATATGCAGGTGATATTGGAATATTACTACATAAATGAGGAAACGTATGCAAGCTATGGCATTCCTACAAACAAGAAACACCTTCTGCAATTTTTGGACATGAATGGGTATTACCAAAAATAAATTGTCCAACATTTTTCTCCGTAGTTGCTCCTCTTACTACCTATCGAAAAAGAGGAGTAAAATGAACATGATAAATCATTTCACAAAATTAAAACTGTCCTTATGAATTCCAGAGATAACAAAGAGTAATAAAACTTTAAAGTTTATTGAAACAATACAAATCGGAATCAGTGCAAACACAGCTCTAAAAGCATCAGAGATGGGAGCAGTACCATGGAGCAGTAAACATCCCCTGTCGACCGGTCACATCCGCCGTGTGTTCATTGTCGTGATCGGGCAAACGGACACACATATAGACAATTAAGTGTGTAAATAATGGCCCTACAATTGAATGAAAAACGTCAGTCAGCATTGGACCTAATGATAGATTGTATTTGCTGACAAGGTCATTGTATCGACCAAAAAACTTGCCAAATGTTGACTTTAAACGAGACATTAATATCCTTGTTTTATCAACTTGTTTGTCAAAAGTTTGCCTCGTTTTTAAAAATTGTTCGTACGTGGAGCATACTCTTGCGTATGGAATTAGCTGGGGGACATAAACTCCAGTGTGATAAGGGTGTGTTGCTACAAAAATAAGGTACGTTGACAATAGAATGATATTAGTCATTATGTTTATCACAATGTTTTGTTGTAAGGTTACCATAACGTCTAGCAGTAGGCCGGTCATTTCAACTTCATGTCTTCCTAAGCAATTCATGCTCGTCAATTATGTTAGTAATGTAGGAATCACGGCTGCATTTAAGAAAGGAGTGAAATGTGTAGGCAGAAATGTTTCTCATATTAAAAGGCAGAACATCAACAATTTCTACCATTGACAAAAACTGTCCTGCTCTGTTGCTAAATCTACAGCATTTTGATGTTATTTGAACTTTACAGTACATTTAATTAGTGTTTATACATATCGTTGCCACTCATTTCTACGCAAAGAATGCCATTCAAGAATCAAATATTTACAAGATGGAGTATATTTTTACAACAGTACAATATTATTACTGAGTATTTCAAAGACAATGTTAATGCAGATGACTTGTCAAGAGTAGCATGAATGTGGTATATACCATAATAATAATAAAAAAAAAACAAGAGACCCAAGGGCCTTAACGGTCACTTGAGTATAATACAACAATTTAGGAGATCCATAGAGTATAAAATAAACTGCCAGATGAAGCTTTGTTGCCCAAAAGCAGGGAAAAAGGATGATCAGAATCAATGAAATAATTAGTCTTGTATTCAGTAACAACTCATACATTAAATTCTAATTTACCCCCCATTTAGCACTATCACCATGCAGACTATTAACAAACTAATAGTTCCTCTGAATTACTTTTAACCCCACATTGTGACCTCTCACATTGGCCTCTCTTGGTCTGTGAAGAACATTTAATAAGTTATTTTTGTCTCATTTTTATCTATTTAATATTATTTATCTATCTGATCATTAAAACTATGAAAGTACTTTTTGTATTATTCAATATATATATTTTTTTGCATAATTCTCTTATTCTATTAACTTTCAAATACATTATTTACAGTGATTATTATCAAAAGTAAATGGCCAAGGGTATAACTTCTCTCATTTGAATACAAATTTGGAAAAAGCATCCTTGTGCACCTTTACCATGCACTTAGTTTGTTTAAATAATACCCAGGAGCAGAGAAGAAGATTTTCAAAGAATTAATGCATTTTCACTATATAATCAATATTATAGAGCCCCCCCCCCCCCCCCAACACCAGAACCCCTGACCCAGGGGCCATGAATTCACAATTTTGGAAAAGGCATCAATGTTTGTCATAACCATGCACTTAGTTTGTTTAAATAATACCCAGGAGCAGAGAAGATGATTTTCAAAGAATTAATGCATTTTCACTATATAATCAATAGAGCCCCCCCCCCTCATTACCAGAACCCCTGACCCAGGGGCCATGAATTTCACAATTTTGGAAAAGGCATCAATGTTTGTCATAACCATGCACTTAGTTTGTTTAAATAATATCCAGGAGCAGAGAAGAAGATTTTCAAAGAATTAATGCATTTTCACAATATAATCAATAGAGCCCCCCCCCCCATTACCAGAACCCCTGACCCAGGGGCCATCAATTTCACAATTTTGGAAAAGGCATCAATACTTGTTATAACCATGCACTAATTAGTTTGTTTAAATAATATCCAGGAGCAGAGAAGAAGATTTTCAAAGAATTAATGCATTTTCACTATATAATCAATAGAGCCCCCCCCCCCCTAACACCAGAACCCCTGACCCAGGGGCCATGAATTTCACAATTTTGGAAAAAGCATCATTGCTTGTCATAACCATGCACTTAGTTTGTTTATATAATACCCAGGAGCAGAGAAGAAGATTTTCAAAGAATTAATGCATTTTCACTATATAATCAATAGAACCCCGCCCTAGCACCAGAACCCCTGACCCTGGGGTCATGAATTTCACAATTTAGGTAGAGGGCCCAATGCTTATTACAACGATGCCAACAGTTTGACTGCTTGATGTCCAGGCGTAAAGAAGAAGATTTTTAAAGATTGGATCAATTTTGGTGGTTTTAGCCCCACCCCTGGGGCCCCAGGGGGGCAGGGACCATGAAATTCACAATTTGTTTTTCCCTTCGCCCAAAAAAGCTATATGCCAAAATTGGTTGAAATTGGTTGAGCGGTTCTAGAGAAGAAATTGAAAATGACGACGCACGACGACGGACAAAAACGGATAGCAATAGGTCACCTGAGTGACTCAGGTGACCTAAAAATTCCCCCATGTGCAAATATATTTTAAAGTTTGACAACTTAAAATTTGACATTCAATTTTTAAAGGGCAGATGCTGTGTAGTAGAAACATCTGAGATATATTATTTCATCATGTTTACTTTAAACAAACTAATTTAGACTTCAAGGTTATTTTTCAGGCGTTAACAGGAATGTTGTTTTTTTTTAATCCCTAACAAAAATAATATAATTATTAATTAACTAAAGTTTACAAAAATTAGCTTTATTTTAAAATAGTAAACGGTTGTGTTCTCAGGTAATTTCTTTTGCTTACATTTTTGTGAATAAGAACTTGTTAGAATTGTTTTGTAGAATGTAAATTTTGAGGTTAAAAGACATATATGCATTTATAGTTACATTGGACTTTCTATATTTTACTGATTGGTTTGCATCATACATCGTTTGCGCTCTAAACGTTCTTAGTGAACACAGAAACACAGTAAAATCGCCAAATTGACACTGTTTTCTGGACTTTTACGGAGAGTAAACAATTTTCAAGAATACTTTTATCGCAAATTAATGTGTAAATTTAAATTATCTCATTGAATGTTTGCATTTAGGGTTATTCTGAACCATTAACCATTCTGAACCATTGTGAAAGTGCATAGAAAGGTCATCAAAGTTCTTTTATTGTTTACCGTTTATCCTTATTATGTATAAGGTTAAATTCAAGTATAAAGGTAGTCTTTGCACTATTGATAACAGATCTTATCTTCGTCTCTTGCCTTTCTGAACTTAAAACTTCACAATAATCTGCTCTTCACTGGATTACCATGACTGGAAAATTATTAGTCTTTATTTTTATTGCATATGCTGCAAAAGAAGTTAGTTCTATTGTTTTCAAAGACTGTGGTAAGATTTCGATAACATTTAATGTTTATAGTAAGGTATGCATTGTAAAGTATATTCGTTCCAATGATGAAATTCAACAATAATGCAAATTAACAAAAGATATTTCCAACGAGTTCAAACGGTGAAAATATTGTATAAAGAGTAATTTTCGCCCCGTTTTATTTCCACCCTTTTCGACTTTCAAACAGTAATTCGCCCAGACACAGTTGCGTTGAAGAGTTATTGCTGTCTTTACTGAATTGACCTGAATTCAAATTTGCCTACTTGCAACGATGGCGACAGGGGCGAAAATTTTCCTGTATGCAGTATTCTGGACAAAACAGTTTCAATTATTAGTTTTGCAAATTAATTTCCAAACCGCTTGCACAATAAACCACCATTAGATTGATTGATTGATTTATGTAGTTTTACGTCCCATTCGAGAATTTTTCACTCAGATAGAGACATCACCATATACCAGTGAAGGGCTTCAAATTTAGACCTTTACTCGGCACTAAGGGCCATTGAGCAGTGAGGGTTCTTTATCGTGCCGTCGCCTATCGTGACAGCGGGCCTCGGTTTTTAAGGTCTCAACCGAAAGTCCCTCAACTTTCACTTCAAAGTGCCGAGCGCTTGGCAAAGAAACAGTCTCTACCTATTCTTTTTTTTTTTTTTTAATTTTTTTTTATCGATTTAGGTCATTCGCGGCCATGATTCGAACACACGACCTTCCGATCACGGAGCGAGCGCTCTACCGACTGAGCTACCGTGACGACTAACCACCATTAGAAAAATTCTTCTAAAATATTGATAAATATAAATGAGAATGTGGTCATTTAAGAAAGAATCTGGAGGTCATGTGACTGGATTATAAACAAACAAATTTCGTACCATTTTGTGTGTCTTACACATAATAGGAGACCATATAGGAAAGAAACTGGGTAACATGTGACTGCCCATAAGCGAACAGATTGTCTTATCATTTTGCACGTTTTTATTTTGAAAAGAATCTGGAAATCATGAGACTGGACTGTGAACGAACAATATGTCTTATTTTCAACGAAAGAAATTGCTTTTAGAGATCTTCGTTTCATAGCGATTGGGTTACTGAGGACAATGAAATGACAATCATTCTTTAAAAAAATAGTAAGTTGATTGATAAGAAGAATGTTAAAACTATGAATGAAATTTTATTGGTTTTTATCATAAGTTGACCTTAAAACATGACACATAGGCTAACACTATTGAATGTATTTTTGACTTTCTATTAAAATTTTTTTCTCCGGAAACATCGTGATATTTTTGCTAAATTGGTTAATATTCCCATACGGAAGAAATTCTCTTAGTTTCCAGAAGGAGAGGTTTTGAAACTCAAATCAAATACAAGCATGCAAATGTATATTCCCAAAAGGGAGTATGCATTAGAGGTGCGTAAAAACCCTTTAGCATAAACTGTAGACAGTGGGTAGAACCTGAACACCTACTGCTTACGAGGGTGATTGAAATGTAATCTACTAAAACAAATGAAAGAAATGACATGACCATGGATTGCGTCACATTCTCTCAATGTATTAGATTAGGATCCTTACTCAATGAAAGCTCCTCTGTTATTGAAATTATTTATTTCATATGCAAAAAGAGTTACCGAGAGAATTGAAAATGTTGTGAAAAGTATACTGATATAAAAGTCTTTTTTCCACGTAAATAGAGTGCTTTATTATACTGAAAGTCGTTTTAATTCCACTGTGTTAAAATTTCACGATTTCTGAAAAAGTACCAATCGATGGCTATAATTTCACGCTGCAAGAAATTAATTCAAATTTCATATAAGCATTTAAAAGTTTTTAAAAACTAATGATAGCATTCACTATGGGTTTAATTTCGAGGAAAAATGATGAATCGCGAACATAGTGAAATTAAAACCATCGTGATTATTTGTCAATCTACAGTATTTAAAGACCCTCTATCACCAAAGAGTTCCAATGCTATGGTATTTTATGTAGTAAATGTGATCTACCTATCTATTTAAAATCTATTAAACTGAAAACTAGAGTGTAGTATATAGTTTGAATTCAATTCAAGTATTTTCAACATTACCTATACTTGTATATTAGACCAAGATGAAGTCATTGAATACTTAATTTACCTATGTATTCTCCATTTAAGTAAGTTATGGTGATTTCCATTCAGCAGTATTTTGTTTTCTTTGAACAATATACAAATTTGTAAAAGTCCAAAAACATTTATCATCAGTGTATTCCTATACATGTTCCTTAATCCATTGTATATGTTTGTCTTAATAGTGAATTAAAATGTACAAATTACTGTCACTGTTTTAAACGATAAACTTTTAGGAAAAGGTCATTTGATTCTTAATAATGTTTATTATATAATATAATACAGTTATGAATACGAGTTCGATTTGTATATGACTGTATAAAACTTTGAATCATTGGTGATCCATGTATTTATCATCATGCTGACGTGTGAAATGTATGAACAGGCTATAATGACTGAACTCTCTTTATGTAGCTGACTGAGGAAAACAAGTCGATCCATTCGTGACATCTGTGTCAAGAAGTGAACAGAATATGTTACAATAAATTTAATCTCTTAGACGACTAAATTCTGAAATCACATACTAGTGCAATACATGAAAAGTGCTAAAATTGAGTTGTTTTTATTGGATAAACTAAATGTAAAATACAAAAGAAAATGTAACATATGAGAGTAGGCAAAGAGTACTAAGTGAAAGAATCTTCTGGTCATATGTTGATGTCAATATAAAATGTTTGGAAGATCAGTTTAACTATGAATACCATTGTAATCAACGTCCATACAAAATATAGTTATACAGACTTTTGATATACTCCTCTATGAAAAGGAATTCAATAGCTTTAGGTTCTGTCCCCCCACCCCCACCCCCTTCTACCCTTTGTCTATTTATAATTGATTTGCAGACCATGAAATTATAAAGAATTATTGTAATATACTTGAAAATGAGGTGGAATTAAGAAAGAGGGTCTCGGAAGAGATGTCAATATTAAAAACCTTTATCTCTAGGGAAAGACAATACTACAAAATGTTGTTTCCTTTAATCTGATCATTATATATTTATAATTTTTTTTATATATAGATTGAATTGTAAAACAATGATATTGATGACATAAATGAATGGTGTGAAGTGAAAACTTAAGACTCTCAGTCGACGTTGGTTATTGATAAAATAATTGAGGAAATATGTTGGGTTTTGAGAGACGCAATTGCTTGCAATTTTCTCTGAATGCTTATTGGTTATTGAAGAAAAAAATGCTTTCTGAATGATGCAGTGCATACATGTATGTACTCGTTTTTATTGAAATACGTATCCTTATGAGAGATAATGTCAATATGGTTTTGTCGGGTTTCAAAATAATTAATCAATAATGGCCTCTTTTACATATATGGACTTTTATTATTAAGAATGTTAATGTACAGAATTTTACAGATTACTCTAGAACCATGATAAATGTACAATTTTAATTAAAACATTAAAATAATATATACTGTTTCTCTTCATTTCAGAGATTGGGATCTTTTTTATAAATAGTAAAAACTGAGTCACTTACTTTCAGGGTCAGTCTCGGGAAAGGTTTTATCGGTAAATGTATCAGGATGCGACAGCGAACCTTGTATATTTTATTCACAGACCAAAGAAACACTTAATGCAACATTTACCTCAAGTGAGTTTTACTAAGCGGTATTTCTATTTATATTTACAAGTATGCTTTTATACGAATGCCCGTTGAGACCAGTTCAAAGAAAGAAATATTTTTTATTGCGTTTAAACGCAATAATCATTGCGTTTAAACACAAAAGATTGCGTTTAACGAGGTTTGCTCCTGAGCTTTTGAGCAGATTCTTATCTTAACCTATATTTCAAAAATTCTGCATAATGTTTTAATTCTTAAAATAAATTTGGATTCTACAATGCCAATTTAACTATATTCAGTTAAAACTCCATGATTAAATTCCATACCAAAAGCATTAAGTGAGGAACTATATTTTGTGGCGGAAGGGTTTTTTTTTTTTTTAGAAGAAAATGATCATTTTTTTCTCTTTCGAAGTATTTAAAGTATGTTAAGTTTGGATTCCTATTTTTACATGCAGGCTGCACATATAGTTATTTTGTGCAGTGGACTGTTTTATAATGGTCCTAAATTACCTATTAAATAAACTGTCATGAATTCTATCATCATATTTTATAAATATAGCAAATATATTGTGGAAATGAAGTAAAAAATAGCTCTAATTTAAGCTTAAAATTAGCACTATTTTAGTAATATCTAAAAATTAACATCACAGACCCCCACTTTTAATTTTCTTTTCTGAATATATACGATACTTTTAACCATTCTTTTTAAATTCAGTAAAATGTCATTACTTTCAAATGATTTTTTTGCTTGTTAAATTTTAATGCCAGAAAAATGAAAATGTTTGAGTGCAAAAAGGTCAAATAATTGAACATGCGGAGTAATTCGAAAATTTCTTCGTTGTTACAAATTTTAATGTGTCTATTTAAGATGAAATAAGACTGTGTTTGTTCACCATAATTTATTTGAACAAAAAATATTGAAGGAAAAACTTTAAAAATTGATTTATGTGTAAGAGGTATTTACAGTGCAAAAAGGTCAAACTAAATGCTCTGTAGCGCAAAAAGAAGCGCATTGACCCCCATTTTTTGTTTTGAATTTTAATAAAGCTATGTGTATAAATTCTAAAAATATACTTGCATGATAAAAAATTCTCATTACTTTTGATGGCAGGATCCAACCTCCTTAATCGCAATGTATATCAATGTATATTGCGTTTAAACGCAAAACACTTTGCGTTTAATCACAAAAGATTGCGATTAAACGCAATCTTTTGCGTTTAAACGCAATAATATTGCGATTAAACGCAATACTTTTTGCGTTTAAACTTGGGATGTCAAAATATTTATTTTCCCTTGTCGAATATTCGATTCCATTATTCGAACGATAGTCGATTATTCGGAACATTTTCTGAAAATAAAGTTTTATTTCAAACTTCACTGGTGCACGACTTATTTATAACTCAAAAACCCTTTTACTTAAATATGTTTAAAAAGTAACACAAGAATTAATGCAACGTAACATTTGATAGCATGATTATATGAAATAAATTTAGAAATCTAATTCTCCAAAATTTATGATTTCCCCATCAATCCAATTCATAAATTAGTGTGTACATGCAGAGTGAGCATTCAAAAATTGCTAGCCGATATTTTTAAAAGCTTATTATGAAATAAATTGGGGGGTGGGGGGGGGTGGGGGGGGTGTAATTTCACACTATCCAAACACCAGGTGGTTGTTAAATTGTTAAACAGTAAGTAACTGCTTATTCATTAATTGATTGCTTTGGCTATCAGAATGTCCTTAATTATAAACAGTTTAAAAATGCAAGCGAATTGTTTTAATAATTATCAAAGCGTCAAAACATGTCACAGCTATGGTTTGTTCCTTGCATTTGAGCAATCTTAAAATAAAAGATAATTGGTACATCGTACAAAATCAAGTCCAATTGATTATTTTACAAAGCCCAGTATATATATTGATGGTTGATTATTTAAGAAATAAATTTAATTTTTGAAGATTCATGAGGACAACTACGACGCTTCACGCCGGCATATTTCATGAAGCGCGTTAGCGCTTCATGATAAATATGCCGGCGTGAAGCGTTGTAGTTCATGTCCTCATGAATCTTCAAATATTAAATTCATTTCTTATATTTACATTATTTTTCTGATGAGTTTCCACAAGTTACGCGATTCAAATGTCATTTTTGAAGCAAAACAGTTTGCACTATAGTTTTGACGTCAAATACGGTATTATGACGTCACAATGGAGATATTCTTGCTCATCTCATGCTAGTTCATGAGAAATGAACAATCATCTAATTTGCAAAGAATCTTAAGGAAAAATACTTGGAAATGTAAATATTACAAAAACAACGCAAGCAGTAACTGATAGATAATTCTTGCGGTAGTGAAGCATTTATTAGTACTTTACTTTCTATCCACACACGGAAAATCAAGTTTTTTTATGGAGGAAAATTATCTTATCAACTTCTCCGAGGAAAGACGGTTTCTCAATTTTGTAATGAAAATTTCATATTATTATCACTCTTTATTTGCATTTTTAAAATTATAATATTCGAATGTCGTTTCATTATTCGATCGTCGGTCCATTCGACTGACAATCGAATAGTCGACTATTCGTTGACATCCCTAGTTTAAACGCAATAATATTTTTGCGGTTAAACGCAATAATTTTTGCCATTAAGTGCAATAATTTTTGCGTTTAAACGCAATAATATTTCGATTAAACGCAATAATTTTGCGATTAAACGCAATAATGTTGTGTTTAAACGCAATTATCTTTGCGTTTAAATGCAATAATCCTTCCTTTTAAGGATTCATTTTGCATTTAAACATAATGATACTGTAGTTTCAAAATTAGACATCAATAAGCCAAAGCTTACTAGGTTCCGACACTTCAGAGAACCGTTTGGTTCTGCGTCTTTTTGCAAAATTTTCCAGTTTATGAAAATTGTAGTAAAACAATGGCATCCTAACAACCAGAGTGTCTTAAATGTATTAGAACCCAACACTCATAATGAAGCCTTTGATCAATTGCTTACGTATCACATCGTTTCAGTAGTATTAATAAAAACTTGTCAATTTCATAGTACACATCGCTCAATCTGTTTTCATTTGATTTTGATCTCAAATGATTCCATCACCTATGTTCTTGTGTTTTCTGTATGCAACCGTAGGAAAGGTTGTGAATACACATTTAAGTCTAAATAATACATCATGTTGTACGTACATGTAATTCCAACATTTCATTAGTTCTTTCCTGAACCCATTTATACATGAGTTAAACTTTGTAACCGCAACGTGGGGGATAGTTTTTTAAAAATTATTTTTCCTTCTTTAGTCTTTTATTTAGAAGGTCCATTCTAATTGTTTGCAGAAATTATTTCAAAGTAGGAAAAATAACAAAATAGAAAAGTGATTTGTGATTGTAAGCAACTGACCAAATCTTCGTTAAGAATATAGCGATAAAAAGACATGTTTCGTTCTTAGGTTTCTTTGTTTTTACAACCCAACATTTTTTTCTCCTCTCAAATCAGTGATTTATCCTTTCAGATAGCGTTTGCTCGGAGGAATCTGATACTATAAAGCTAGACATTAAACAATTTTCTTATAAGTAAAAAAGAAAGAAATATAATATATCAGTTTATGTGGGTCCGTTGTATTCTGCAAGATTTAATACAATTGATTGCCTTTAATCACAAAGATTATTGCGTTTAAACGCAAAGATTATTGCGTTTAAACGCAAAGATTATTGCGTTTAATCGCAAAAGTATTGCATTTAATCGCAATATGATTGCGTTTTAACGCAAACAGTATTATGTTTAATCGCAAAATGATTGCGTTTAAACGCAAAAGATTGCGTTTAATCGCAATCTTTTTGCGATTTAACACAAAGTGTTTTGCGTTTAAACACAATATACATTACGATTTAACGCAATCTTTTGCGTTTAAACGCAATGATTATTGCGATTAAACGCAATGTTTTGCGTTTAAACGCAACAATTATTGCGTTTAAACGCAATAAAAAATATTTCTTTCTCTGAACTGGCCTCAACGGGCTTCCGTACTTTAAAACACATATACCAAATTGTAATTTTTTAATTTCGTTTATTGATAAATCCACACTATAGAGCAAAGTTTAAATATGTATTTTTATTTTGTGTTGAATAAAATTAGTATCGGGTACTTGAAACCTCCTGGAATTCAATATTGAAACCTATTACAAAATGCACTTTTACTCCACTATTATTTGGATTTTAATTTATTTCAAAATTAAGGATTATCTCCCTCAAGCATAGCTCTGATCCTTCGACGTATTTGGCTCCAGTCTTTGGCACTTTTTTCAGCGCTTCAAAGTCTTTTTTTATTTACCTATTTTGGATGTTCAACCTTTCGGCATGAGCATCACTGAAGAGACATAATTTGTCGAAATGCGCATCTGGTGCATCAGAATTAGTACCGTATATGATTTACATTATGACCCCCTGGGTCGAGGCCTCTGCTGGTGGACTGTTAGTTCCCGAGGGTCTCTACAGCCTAGTATCTAAGTACTTCGCTACTAGTTTAAAAATACGGATATATATGTAATTGCTGTGGTAAAATTTAGAAATTTATTCCAAAATTAAGGATCATCTCCCTCATGCATAGCTCTGATCCTACGACGTATTTGGCTCCAGTCTTTGGCACTTTTTTTCAGCTCTTCGAAGTCTTTTTATTTAAGTATTTTGGATTTCCAACCTTTCGGCGTGAGCATCACTGAAGAGACATAATTTGTCGATTTGCGCATCTATTGCATCAAAAGTTGTACCGTATATGATTTACATTGGAAAGATGCTATGTTGTTACTTAAATCTGTTTTTGAATACTTTTTGTAAAGCACAGCGTTAAGGAAAGCGAAAGCATTTAAACAAGGATTAATTAGAAAATTTGAGCGTTACCCTCACATCATGCATATGGTTATCTATATCAGACTGCATGATATTCTGTATTTTAAACACAACTAAAATGTGTTACTGAATGTACATTTGCTTATTAGATGCCATTTATCAAACTATAAAAAAGTGAAGAAAACGAACAGTGGTCAATCTCATAAATCGTATATAAAAAAAGATTCAAAATACATAGACCCTGAAAACACCAAAGGTAGGATCAGGTACCTAAGATAGGCATCCCATCTTTACCGTTCACACCCGCTGTGAACTCTTCCTTTTGATCAGGCAAAAGGAGTTATCCCTAACCAAAATAAGAATGAAAATTATGGCTTAAAAATTGGCATGAAACACTACAGTCAAAATTTACACTGGCATCAGATCGCTCTTCAAATAGAAAGTTATTCAATGGTAACTGACACAGTCACCTGTCACAGTGTTTACATTCCTGAATTTTTTTTTTCGTATCTATTCTAACAGATGTGGCATCAACAAAACCAACAACGCAAGTAACAGGAATCATAGGGGGCGTTCCGATTTCATTTCCGGCAGAGAAAAACACTTGTGTCAGTCAGACGAAATGTCCTATTCAGCCAGAGCAGCAAAACACATTTTCTATCACAGTGAATGTTTTGAAAGAATATCCTCACGTAAGAGAGTCTTTTGAAATAGGAAGCTTAAAGTTAAATACCAAAAAGAGATCAATTAGGATATAAACGACGACAAAAAGTTGAATCAGGAATGAAATACAGTGTAACAGAATGATTTTTTTTTAAATCAAACTTATTGATCATAAATGTATGTTTTGGAATCCATGAGTTTTGTCGTAAAAAGAATGATCATATTCAAAGATGCATGTTTCTAGAAAAAAATATAATCATCATCATCCTATTTTGGTAGAAGAAATCTGTTTTTGGAATATTGCAAACGTGCCTAGAGCGAAAATATATTTGCAAAATTTCACTTATCTCACCCAAACAATCAATTAAGAAAGGTGGTGTTTTGTATAACTTACGCCTCCATTGTTTGTTTTTGTCTATGTCTGGTTTAAAATCTCTTAATGCCTCATTTTATTCAATCTTAACGATAAAGGAATATTGGTTTTGACAAAGAGCTTAATAATATCTTCAACAGTCAAAACTAATAATATATATTTATTACAAAAATGCAGACGCCTTAAAATTATGAGATGTCGTGCATGTTTTTTTTTTATAACAAGTTATTTGATTTGTATTGTAGATAAGTCTTTTGGTTAAAACAGAAGTTCGGGACGATACTGGAAAAGATATATTCTGTTTTGTTTTTCCTGCACAAATAAAACCTAAGCCATATTTCTTTTTATCATTATTATTACATTTTTACAATGGACTGCGTTATATAGAATATTGTGTTGAATTTGTTTTTGAATGATTATGTTTAAAGGGGCACAGAAACAGTTTTGAAATGTATATCCTTCAAAATTGTCGGTAGAATTTCATGATCTATATGATGTAATGGCGTTTCAGACTGTTTCAGACTGATGTATTGGTTGGTTGTATATTTCTGTCTGCAATTTTAATGAACAATTTTCCATAAAGTTTTTGTCAGAAACTTTAAGATATATTCAAATTCTACTTTAGAATTACATGTAAGTCTATCCATAGTGTGGCATGAATTTCTCATCATTTTTTAATTAATAATGTCTTTGAAACATAAAAATAACCATTGCATGACTGTCATCCATCGCATCTTGTACTTTCAGAACTTTTAAGTATGTATCTGATAATTAAAAAGTATGATATTATTTAAATCCGAATTATTATGAGGTGAAGTAATGGTACGTGTATGTTACATTCACCCGGTCTATCTCACCCATTCTTTAGATGCGGTGGCACTTAAAAAGGAAGAATTAAATAAAAATTATATACGTATTCATAATTCAACTTTTTGCGTTCATAAGACCATCCTAGTTCAGTAAAGTAAAGTTCAGACTAAACGTTACTTTTTTGTCTACACATTTTCTTTCAAGAAGTATTTTTTAATCTGTCTGAATGCAAATTTTACCTTTTTGTATTGTATTCTGAGGCATCGTCATTATCATTTTGTAAATTGCGTCTTTTCAAAGGAAATTATCTGTTTTCTACATTTCAATATCTGAATTTCTTTGAGATACAATGAAAAATTGGTCGCAAACCCTATGGAAACATCATACATCCAACAGTAGACGTAGACAAGAAAGCAGATTAGGATCTATAATATAATTTCCTTGTCAATGTAATACCAAAGGGAAATGAATTTCGTAATTTAAAACAAATCTCTTTGCCTGTGGTTAGTAAGTGCGCTTTTCCATGACCATCAAATAGACAGAAGTTCTAAAGGAATATTTGATTCTTTATTCCACAAAGGTAATTTAAAAGCATTATTATAAAAGTGAAAGATAGTTTATACACATTTCTTTTAAAATGCATATGTAATTTCAGGGATTTTATTCTTTCAGTCCATTGACAAAACACGAACTATGATTAACACAGATTTACGAATGGACGCGAAAGAAATCAGTTAACGGTTCTTTCTGGGTTACTTATCAAATGGGGCTGGACATTATGCAAGATTCTTTCAGAAAATCTTAACACTTCAGAGCCATTCTCTGCAATGACTCAGACTCGTATAATAGCTACGGCACGCATAGGCACAGGATTTCTTCAAACTCACAAAGGATATAAATATTTGATACCATATACTCATATCAAGCAAGAATTGGTTGCTATGTTTTGCATGGTAACATGTCCCTAAATTTGAAAAATTGCATTTTTTAAACATGTTTAGAGTCCAATATTAACATTTGCAGCAATACAGAAAAGTGATAGTGATATTCTTAAAGTCAAATACTTGATGTCTTACTGTAGATCACTTTATTTTCGCGAGATAGCTTTTTGGTATTTATAAGCGAGACAAAATTTTCGCGAGCTACGCTCTTTGTTGTATATAATCTTTAACAATACAAATATACGCGAGAATAAAATTTTCGCGAGCAGACAGACTCATATAATTACGCGAAAATAAAGTTCTCGCGAATAAAAAGTTATTTACAGTATATGCATGATAAAAATATTTGGGACAACAACAATTACATACGTTACCATAAAAACAAGGTATTGAAAGGAATTATTTTAATTTTAAATATTCACTTTGATTAGTCATACATTCAAAAGATAATAGAGATTATTAGTTAAAATGCAACCAATTTACATGTATTGAGAAATATATCAATAACATATTTGATGTAGAAATGTGATATTTCTTACTGGTTTGAAATGGTTGCTATGGGAATAAGACCGAGAAGTTAATTCCAATTAACTCTCTGTACTTTTTCATCTGTTTTTATCTTTTTGCAGAGCACAATTCTCTTTGACTAGAAGGAAATTTTTGAAGTCAATAGTGTGGATTAAGTATCAATATTTCAAAAAGTTCAAAACTTAGCCTATAAATAGAGCGTTGTTGTTGAAATTGTATGAAAACATATCTAAAAATCTCAACAATATTTTACTTCCTTGTGTGCACATTCCAAAATTTCTGGCTGATATGTATTATATGTACACCAAACATGACTTTCAACTCTAGCTACCAAACAATTTGAACTGGATGTGAGAAGCTACCATATAGGGTTTAATACTGTCATGAAATTAACAAAACTTAACATTTTCCCTTAATTGGTAACCATACATGTAGCAAAAGTATTATTTCTTTTATCAAACTTGATCAATAAATGCGTTTGAACTTAAGTTCTGTCATTATTATTTAAAACATAGCCACAAGTTTAAGACTAGGATTGATATAACCTTTCTTGATCAGGTCAAATATTATCATTGTTTTTATAGTGTTGGTGATTGATGTTAATCATGTAACACCTATCATTAGTGATTACTGAGCATTTTTCAGCATTTAAAATCTACGCACACGTATCCATCGTTACCCTTTATTTAGAAATATATTTAAAAATATTTCTTTATAGCATAAATAGCAACAATGTATAATATTTTTGTGAGAGTGGCATTTTTGGTTTTCTTAGTCTTAATGAAACCCCAGTCACAATTCAAAAAAAAAGGCCAAAGGCCAACGGTTTTTGAGGCAAAAATAGGACTCTTCGGGCGACAGTCGGCGGTTCATCTGCCATTGCCTTGCCCGATTTTGACCCTATTCTTCGTCAGCCGACCAATTTTGTGTCCGTCGGTCCAAGATATAATTTTTTCATTTGAAGCAAGATATAATTTTTTCATTTGAAACAGCCATTGAATAACCCGTCCACTAACCCTCGATCATTGGGTTTTGGGTTTTCCGCAATTTCGGCTAACGGTGGAGAACAAACTTCGGCTTAGCGCTCGCTAATCGAGCGACGATTTGCCGACTTAAAAATATTTGAATTTTTAAAGTCATCGGTGTTCTTAGGAATTAATGTGACTGCTCGGCGTCGCCCGATACTGGTGTCGGCCGATCATGTTTTTTTTTTCAGCGAAACAATTTGGTTGCCCGACAATCGGCTGAAATTTGACTCAGGATTAAGGATAAAAATAGATTCAAAATGCTAAAAATATATTCTTTTTGGTCTATAATTACTACTTTCTAGAACATATTCATAAAGACACAGAAGTAAAGAACCTTAATACCAGTACCTATAATTAAAACAAGAGAACAAGAGAAAAGAGCAACGGATTTCAGGTATCCATCAAAATCAAGTGTGAAGCTTAATTCTACATGCATACACTAAACTTTATGATAAACTTGAATACTTCAACTTTTTTATCGACATCTTCCCTTATTTATGGAGCAATAGTTTACGTCTTCCAGGTGATCTGATATACAAGGTTCTATTTCCGAACTCGAGACTGTCTATTGAAAAATAAGCTGATAATACAAGGATATCAACACTCTCATTTAAAGCCAACATTAGGAAAATTCCTCGGTCGATACAATAACCTTGTCGTTAAGTCGAATGTTGACTGACGTTTTTCATACAAATTGTTAGGTCATTATTTCACACCGAATTGTCTACAGATTTTCTCGTTTACTCGAACATGACAAAGAGCACACGTCGGGTGTGACTGGTCCATTGGGGATGCTTACTCCTCAATGGCACTTGACTCCACCTCTGTTTCCGAAGGTCCGGATTGCCTCTGTTCATTATTTGCATTGTTTCAATGGACTTTTGAGACTGATTACTGTTCGTTATCTTCATATTTTGTACACCAATACCTCTAAAGATAAGCATTTACTCATTGTATGAAAGCATATCGTCTGAAACAGATGTGGAATTTCTGCTCAAGTTCAGTCAAACCTTAGTTGTCTGCAGTGCCATTTAATGTCGTACTTAATGACAATAAATTTCATTAAAGAGCAATTCTTTGTAATCATTTAAATTTTGATTTTTTGGAAACTTTACTCATTGTTGTAGCTTGACATAAGAAAAATAAAGCAAACAAAATTTGGTTGACGTGTTTCTTGGTTGCCATGGTAACTGTCAGAAAAAAAATGAAAGATTGAAATTTGCAGCTGCTTTAAATCTGTATTGAACATTTATAAAGAATGAGAAAACCAATTTAACCATTCTCACAAATGCATTATACATCGTTGTCATTTGTCCTATAAAGAAATTATTTAGAACATACCAGGTATCTAAGTAAGCGGAAGCAATCGATACATTTGTCAAACATTATAAATGTTGAAAAACTCTCAATATTCAATTATACAAATTATGTATTACTTTTTCAATTTCAATTACCACTCAAGAATAACAAAAGAAATGTTTGACCTTATGTATAAAGGATATAACAATGTTATTCTAAAAATAACTTTCATGGTTGTCATGGTAACACAAGTATAGCAACACAAATGTCATGGCTAAGTTTTTATTAACACTGTTTTCTTAAGGAAAGACCAAAAAAAAAAAAATATCAAGACTGCCAAAAAATGTATCTTTAGAACCTTGTAACACAGATTACATTAAAAAATTGGAATTTATAAATACATTGTTTTGTAACCATGGAAACAACACACTAGTGATTTAAAGTAAAAATTCCTTGCTTGTTTAGAAATTAAGTTACTTTTTAATCAAGAAACATGTCTTACTCGCTTTAATTGTAGTTATCTGATAGAACTTAAGCAGAATATCATATTCTAATCAAGTTTGATCAAAGAAAAATCGTTGCTATAGTTACCAAGAAGGGAAAATGTTCATTTTTTTTTAATTTCGTAGCAAAATTGAACCCTATTTGATAGCTTCTTGCATCCAGTAAGAGATTGAATGGTAGCCAGAATTGAAGAGGATAGTTGTTTATAAATATTAATCAAAAAAGTTTTGTGAAATTTTCATTCAAAAACACATATCCAAGGGAAGAAATATGCTCTGTAAAAAGAGCGAAAACGATGAATACATACAGAGATTTAATTCGAAATCACTTATCGATATTATTGTCAAAGCAACCACTGCCAACCAATAAAAAAAAATCTTCTTCTTCCTTAAAATATGTTACAATATTCTTTCCTGATCTTGTGGTTTCTTTTGAACTTATACTTGCTTTTACATTTTGAATGGATGACTAAGCAAATCAAATGAATTAAATTTTTGCTTTTCAATAATTTGTTTCCCTAGTAACGTATGTAATAACTTGTGACCGAAGTATTTTTTATGATGCATATAAAACATCAAGTCTTTGACTTTTTAAAATAACCATTGTCACTTTTCTGTATTGTAGCAAACATTAATAATTGGACTCAGAACATGTTTTAAAACATGCTATTTTACAATCTTTGGGATGTGTTGTCGTGGTAGCCATGACACATCGCAAGCGATTTTTGCCTTCTATGAAATAATGGTATCATTAAGTATCTTTATCATAACAAGTTTGTAAAAATCTGTTCCTATATATTGAGTTAAGGTCATCACAAAAAATGGCTCTTAAAACTTCATAGTTAAATAATAGAAGGGGTTCCATTAGCGTACCGGAGAGATGAGTTTCTTTCATACGGTAAATTACCGCAAGGAAAATTGCGCCATCAATGAATGTACCATCTTTTTGGAGTTTTCTTTCAAAGGTTTTAAGTTTTTTTTCCATTCAATTGTAATATTTCTTCTTTAATTTAATCAAGGAACATTTTTATTTCCATTCCTCTTCAACAAATCTTAAGAGTCTGCTATTTATTTATCTAGGACCTTTGAAATGAATTTATATAAAAAAAAAATCTGCATTTCTTCTGAAAAATAATTTTCAACTTTAGGTGTCGATACCAAACCCTACCATTATTCCACAGAAAAAAAACTCTTTTTTTTCCATTGTAGCATTGTCCTATGCTATGCCTATTTCATCTGATGATCATGCAGAGCCATTATCCCTGAACAGGCGAAATCCCTGAGGACATACTGTTCAAAGTTACAAATGCAATTATGTGTAATCCAAGGAATTATCAAATGGCATAATTTATAGTATACTTTCAGAAAATGTATGAGTTTTGAATTCCCAAACTTCCTCACAATAGTTTACGAACCAATACAAATAACACACAAATTTGAATGGTGCTTAAAATATGCTGACTCTAAATTCCTTTTAACTGATTTTTTTTCAATCACCCTTGTGTTTTTCCAACAGGTTTTTTCCTGTTTTCCGCTGCAAAAGCATAAATTTAGGGACAAATTCTGTCTCCCTGTCAAACACCATTAAACATTGGAACAACGATAAAGTGATTAAAATCTTTCTTGGTTCGAATTATTATACCCGCACTTGCTAAAGAAAGTTCGGGTATATTGTTGTTATCCTGGTCCGTCCGTCTGTCACACTTTCTTCTTTCTCAAACTGCTCTAGCATTTTAAGCAGAAACCAACTCATGAATATGTGCAGAAGATTTTAAAATTTTCAATTTCACCCTGAGGGTCATATGAGGATTAAAAAACGTCCATTTTTCTACAAAAATCTGATTCCCTGAATTCCTCATGTCTACAGGACACTTGGGAGTGTCCTGTAGATAAGTATTAATGTTTTGGAATTTTGATTTTCACCCAAGAAGTGATTGTGGGTCAAAAAACGACGCTTTTCTACAAAAACCTGGTTCCCCGAACTTCTCTGACTAATCTTACAGTAACTATACAAACCTGGTCCCTGAAGTCCTGTTACATTTTTTGCGGTAACCAACTCATCTTTTGGAATATAATTGATAATGTTTTGTAGATGTGCAATAAGGTTTTGGAATTTCGATTTTCACCCTTGGGGCGATTAGGGTTCAAAAAATGTAGTTTTTTCTGCAAAAGACCTGGTTCTCTGAATTCTTCTTACATTTTTTTTCAGTAGCCCAATCATATTTAGGAATGTGATTTGGAGTGTCCTCTAAGTATACAATAACGTTTCAGAATTTCTCACCCTGGGGGCGATTGGGATCAGAAAACGTTTTTCAACATAAACCTGGTTCCCTGAAGTCCTCTTACATTTTTTTGCATTAACCAACTCATCTTTTGGAATATGGTTCTTGGTGTGCTGTTGATGTGGAATAAGATTCCAGAAGTTCAGTTTTCACCCTTGCGTCGATTGGTGGACAAAACCGTCGTCTTTTGCAAATGCCTGGTTCCCTAAATTTTTCTTACATTTTTTGCACCAGACCCTTCACATTTTGGAATCTGATTGGGAGTGCCCTGTACATGTGCAGCAATGTTTTTGAATTCCGATTTTCACCCTGGGGAAAAATGGGGGTAATAAAATACTTCTACAAAAACCTGGTTCCTTTAACTCCTCTTACATTTTTGCAGAAGCTAATTTATCTTTTGGAATATGATTGGTGATCTCCTATATATGTGCAACAAGGTTTTAGAATTTCGATTTTTACACGAGGGATTGAGAGGATTGGGGGTCAAAAGGCGTCGTTTTGCTACAAAAAGTGGTTCCCTTAACTCCTCTTTTATTTTTTCCAGTTGCCTACTCATATTTTGGAATATGATTTGAAGTGTAATATAGACGTGAAATAAGGTTTTTGAAATTTCGATTTTTACCCTGGAGGACGACTTGGGGGTCGAAAACCTGCTTCGCTTCTCTTACCTCCTCTTTCATTTTTTGTTGTAACCAACTCATTTTTTGGAATATGATTGGGAATGTCCTGTAGATGCTCAATAAGTTTTCACTGGGGGCCAAATGGGTGTCAAAAAGATATTTATATTAAAAAAAAACAAAAAAATTCCCTTAATTCTTCTAAAATTTTCACAGCAGCTCAATCATATTTTCGAAGAAGTCTATGTGTGTCCTGTAAATGTGCATTTAGGTTTAGGTATCTTGACTTTTCACCCAGGGGTGGTTGGGGTTTGAAAACCTAATTTTTTGTAACATATAGAATTATTATGGCTTCCTCCCTTGTTACTAAAATATTAAGATGAGTACATTTAGATACTAACACCTAAGTGGAGGTCTTACAGTATGTAGTTTTTATTACATATCCTGAAATATAGTCATTATAGAACTTCAAACACACACACTTCTAATTTAAATGATTTCGGAGACTGATGATGTCTCATGAAAAGTCGTTGAAAGTTACATAGACTACAGGTATGATTTAGTTGATAGATAATTAAGGGTGTTTGGTCTGTTAGTGTCATACCTCACATATGGCATGACATACCCCACATATGGGATTCAACTTTATTTTAAAAAACAATGGAGGTTAAGGGAAAAAATAGAAAATTCAATAATTTATACATAAGATAATTCTGCATTCACTAGAATATTTTGGTAAAATTCAGTAAAAGTACCTCAGTTTCGAAGCCCCCGTATACAAACATCTTATATGTCTTTCTCCATTTATATTATCTTACTGAGCAAATAGAAAATGTACCCTAAACGACCTTCAAATAGAAACAGCGCAGATTTTTTTTTCTTACAGATAACGTGTCAGGTGTTATATTCACAATAAACCTAATGTGAAAGTCATAAACTTCATTTGTGCTCAACAATGATTATTTAAGACTTATGGGAGGGATAGTAGAAAGTATACACCTCCAAGAAAATACAGGTAAGTTATACTAATTTGAATTTACTACTTTTCTTATCAGTTTTTGAATCTAAATGTAAGGGATTCTTATCACGTACACGAACGTTCGACGCACGTGTTTACGAGCAAACACTAAATTATACCTGTAAATAAAAATGCTGTAACGTCGATACCGCTAAAGATGATGATTTTTTATTTAGACAATTAATGTGTAAATAAAAACATACATAAGGCTCGGGTATTGGTTTATTGACACACCAGAATAAGAATGATGTCATATTCATGCATACCCTGTATTTATTATTTATCTTTATATTGACTTCATCTCTTAATAGTCATGATTAATTATTCATTAATTAGTCCCTTAAATTGTTGATAAAAATCAATAGCTGATTTTTTAAAAATTATTTTTTATTTAAATATACCTTAAAAAGTTAAATGTTTTTACCTATTGCGAAAAATACATGCTATGAGTATCCAGTAATAAGTAAGTTTAGTATATGATATTCCTTTAAACTGCAGAAAAACAACAGGTACTTGCATTTTAAACACACTTTAACCTCCATGTGGATATTCACGTAAGTTACAATCAATTTTACACAATCATTTTAGTTACGTACATATGCAGGACCAATTAAGTCATAATTTAACTGTTAAATTTGTTCACAGTTATGTTGTTATATTGCTTTTATTATTGGAAAGCTGAATTTAAAAAAAAAGCCTTTTTCATGCATGATTATGATTGTACTTTGAAATTTTAGAATTTTACTTCAAAAAAATTTTTCTTTCAAAAAGTTTTTTTCCAGGATAAACAATGAGCGCAGAGAGTCTTGGAAATCCAGTGGATCGAGGTTGGTCCTGGGTAATTCTGGGAGGTAAATTGTAACACTGAACTATTAAAGTTTTAGGATGCAACACATTCCGAATATTTTATCTATCTAAACGGATATCTTGAATCTTATATTGATAATTAAATCAAAATCTCAGGTCTTATGTGAAAATGGAAATACACTGAATAAGCATGGGCGGATGTTTGAAGATATAAATAATGAATCAAAAATAATAAAAACAGATTTTATGCAACACTCAAGTGTGGTTGTTTCAAGAAGACCTAGTTATGGATCATGCCATATGTTCTAGTAACATTGTGCTCTCTTGATATCTCGATGTATGCGACAAAAAGTATAAAAATTGTTTCAGGAATTGTTTTTAAAATATTATCTAAATGTATTTTGACATATCGCAACCAAAGTTTAGACTTGAGCATACAGTTGAAAATATGCTAAGCTACATACTATATCGCCAAGAAATGATTGTTCGTATTTTATAAATCATGTTGCATTTATCAAAGAATGATAGTGATAGAAAATTACATACTCCTCGAATTCGTTGACTAGTAATACAGTATGTTACTGTTGGTGCGAGGAGATATTTAACTATACCTTAAAATAGCATAGTAAAGTAGCTTAATTAGTAAAATAGCTAAAAAGCTAATATAAACCCTCACTGCAGCAAAGATTTCTTTTTGACATCGGCATCTTCATTCAACCTTTACAAAACAATATGACTGCTTAATGGTCACTCCCATTCAAATGTGAGGCTTAATTATGAAAATAGTTGAACAAAATACCCTTTAGGAATTCAACATAGTAAAATGAGGTACATGTACTTTGAATTGATCAACATATGCAACCTGTCCTCAGCTGTTGGCCTTCTTAATTAAGGCCAGTCACCTCATGGGTCAGGTCTTGGGAGAACTTTCACCGTGTTGATATCTAAGGGTGATATTGTATTATGCTTTATAATTTAAATTCATTAGTGTCTTTGTATTTGGAACGAAATCCTTATCAATATTTTGTTAACACAATGTGAAATCGGTGAAGTTTTAATATTATCAATATCAGTCTTTTCTGTTTGCAATTTTAGCAAGTTCTGCAATTTCATTCTTACATATTGGATCAATCAAGTCTTTTGGATTATTCTTCGTTGAAATTTTGGAGATGTTTGATGCAAGCGTCTCCGTGACGTCACTGATATCGTCACTTCAGGCCGTCTGTTTTGCAGTAGTGGGTAAGATAGATCCACTCAAAATTTATCATATGATATTTTTTTTTGTTCTGAGAATTATCGTATCAAGGCAAAAAAAAAAAAAACTACATTTGAATATACAATAAGATTATAATGGCTTATTTTTGACAATTTCAGCCTTACCAGTATTATCCATAGGAATAAATTTCCAATCATCCCGGTTCTTTTGTCTCGTTGGTGGCCTCCTCTGTACAGCGGCATACGCTCTAAGCGCATTCGCCATGAATGTTGAATTCATCATCTTCACACTCAGTATTCTATTCGGTATGCTATAATTAAATGTAAATTTTAAAGTAATTTCACCAATTATATCTTCATAGAAGCCATATGTATTTCACAATAATCTTTAAATATGACGAGTATACTCCTAGAAACTCACCATCGAAACGAGTAAACAAAAAAATGCTGTATTCTTTACTATAGAATTTTTAAGGCCTGCAACTCGCAGCCATATAAAGTCCCCGAATGTCGGTCGGAAGTTCTTTATGTTGAAAACTTCGCTTGCTTCGAACTATAATAGTGTCACTTTTTTGTCTAGAAATATGTTTTACATGTATTATTCTGATAACTGAAATGAAAAGGGCAAAACAGAGGGAGTTTGTTGATTTCAAAGTATAAGAGCACAGAAGTTCGTATCTTATTTACGGATTTAAATAGAGGCTCAGTGTTTATAAATATATTTCAAACATTTATTAATGATTGACCTAGCTATCTACTATAGTTTGTGTTTTTTTTTTTTTGTTCATGAGAAGCAATATAAACTGTATAATGATTAATGTAAAGATTTCTGAGCTAGTGTACAGAGTATTGCGATTTATCAAGCTTTTCGAATTCATCGTATATGCCTAACAAGGCATTCACAAACATAGCGATATTATTATTTTTCATGAATGCTAAACAAACTTATATTGGGCTATTTTTTCCAATTAGAAAAAAATCAAACCTTGGATTCAAGTATAGCATTTTGCCTTTGTCTAAAACCAGTAGAAATTCTTAATACCCGGTGGTTACAAATTTTGATTTGAAATGTCAACCTGTATTACCTTTTATTGTTTTCAAGTAATTAGACAGTTTACAAGGTTCAAGATGGAATATTTATTAAAATAAGGTTGATATCAATCAATGAGTCTTTTTCCAGTATCATTAGGCTATAAACAGAACAGCAGTATTTATTACTGTTTTTACTATTTTCAAACATTGTGTTAGAAAGATACAGTATACTGCACTGACACATATTTATTTCCTGTTTATAATTTGAATCAATTTCTTTGTGTGTGTTTGAAAGGCTGCGGAGGAGGATTTTTATTTCCACCGACGCTGGTGATTCTTGGCAGATATTTCCATAAACGACGGGGATTAGCAAATGGGCTTTCAATGGCAGCAGCATGCTTAGGAGGCCTAGCCTACCCATTATACATTCGATTCTGCATGGACGAGTATGGCGTCCGAGGAGCATTATTATTAGTTTCAGGATTATATATGCATGTTCTTATAGCTGCTTGCCTCTTGACTCCTCCAGAACAATATGGACTGTCTAAAAGAAATGAGAAACTGCCCGAAAAGGAAAACCTATTACTTTCACCAATTGTAAAACGAACAAATAGTTTAACGTTAACGAACGATAACAGTGCACTCTCAAGTTCACTTCCAAATATACGTTTATCCCGGGAACCTGTCAAGACGAGACGAAGAACAGTGACAATATCACATGATGCAAATTCACCCTCAACACACAAACTCAAAACCCCTAATTTCTCGCAGTATCTCAGTAATATGAGTTTAATGTCGATATCATTGGTTGATTTAAGCCTTCAAAAGTCAACGACAAACATGAAGATAAAAGAGATGAAATGGCACGACTACTTGAAGAAAATAGATTTGACAGTCCTCAAGCAAATTGAATTCATATTGTTTTTAGTTGCCTTTTGTTTCTCAGCTGTACCGGCTATCTTTTTTGTGTTCCTACCAGCATTTGCTCGAGAAAAGGGAATCTCAGACAATGAAATTCTTATACTGGTTTGCATTGCAGGATTTACGGATTTCCTCGGGAGGGTTGTTTGGGGATTTCTTTCGGATATTCAACGAATTCGTACATCCCACATCATTGTTATAACAATGTTTATTCTTGGTACTTTAAGCCAGATGGCCCGCCTTTTAGAGTCTTTTGTAGCTTTCTGTTTGTTTATAACACTGTATGGGTTTTTCGCCGGATCTCCTTTTGCACTGTTTTCTTCTATGATAACCAAAATAGTCGGAATCGAGAAATTTCCCACGGCGTATGCTTGTCTTATTTTGGCACAAACATGTACCTTGGCAACATCAATACCTTTTTCTGGTGAGCACAAAAACATATATACACTGTTTTCTTAAAGTTTTATTTTACGCTGTATGGAATACTTGTGTAACATTTTATGTTTCTTTTTAAGGGTTCCTTCGAGATCTGACCAGTGGTTACTATGCAACATGCCACTATATTGGAACAAACGCACTCCTATCAGCCCTACTCTTTTTATTTGAACCATTCGCACAACGAATGGATTTGAAAAGAAACGTAAATATACGAACTCAAAATGTTCAGAATAGTGACTTGCAAAAAAATGGGATTTGACATGTCAAGAAATACACTACTGACTAGATATACATGTAGGGAAAAAAATGAATATATGATTGAACTAAAATACAAATGTAGATCATTTTCTATTGGTGTCGTAAAGATCAGACTTTTTGTAATTAAAAATTAGGACGTGCAATATTAGAAAATGTTTTCTAAATAAGCTTTTTAATGATTCAGTAATTTTGAATCAGAGGTTGTTCAGACATCTCTCTTTCTTTATCTGCATAAAATAATCCATACAGCCATTTTTGACGGTATTTTAGAAATATTTTAAGGATATCATACAATTTATAGATATTGTTCACGTGACTAAATGTTGTTTGATATAATTTTTATTTATTTTCTATATCTTTAACGAATCTGGGAGCATTTTATACTGAACAATCATATATAAAGATATTGATTTAAAAACTTTGCAATAAACAGTGCTTTGTATCATAAACAGAGGCTTTTAGATTTCTTCAGAAGAAGAGAAAATATTGCAATGATTTAAAAAAATGTAGATAGAATGTTAGAAAAAAAAAAAAAAAAAAAAATAAGTATTCACACTGAAACAACTACCTGCGAGGAAGGGTAGCATATTAAGGTTCGATTATCGGCCGCTTCCAGCAGATTCTGTAGAATGAAATACTAGTATGAATATAACAAACAGTATTCAAACTCATTTTAATTGGGAGCAGAGCAAACACGGACCTCCAAAACATCGGAGGTGGGATCAGGTTCCATGGAGGAGTGAGCATCCCCTGCTGACCGGTCACACCCAGCGTGTGCTCCTTGTCAAAATCGGGAAAAATGGGAAGATCCGTAGACAATTAAGTGTGTAAATAATGGCTTTACAATTAAAGTATGAAAAACGACATAATTATTTGACTTAATGATAGACAGTATTATAGTATAGCACATTTATCATAAAGTTTTGTTGTTAGGTTACCATTACCGTTTTTTTTTTCTAGTAAGATATCCAAATATGAAACAGATGTGTCAGACTCTGTGGTGTCCTTTATTTCAAGCTGGGATATATCGAATCGACTTATGAATGGAAGCTGCTATTGTTAATACGTCGTCGATATATATTAGATATATAAATGTCGAGTTGAAGGCTACAGCAAATGTTTCCTTCTTCTCATGTAGAAGTTTTTAGAATAAATTCTGCTTCATATGAATACAAAAAGTATCTGCTAATAACGGGGCGCAATTGGTACCCATAAGAATTCCAACACATTGTTGGAAAACCTGATCTCCAAAAACTAGATAGGTTTTGTCAATCAGAAACTCAAGCATCTTTTGAACATCAACGTCAGAGTACTTGTGTGTATAATCAAAATATTTTTTTACAAAATAATTTTGCAAATGACCAATGACAAGGTAAGTATATTTACGAGTTCCATTTTTATTGAAAAAAGCAACTGTCTATGATGTCAAAATGCCTGGACGTTAATTTATCGTGGGGAATGGTTGTATAAAATGTTGAAAAGTCGTAAGTTTTGAGGTTATTGATTTTGGTAAAATTGTGTGATTTCACGTTTTCTAAAAGTTTCTTTGAGTTTTTAAGTATCAACATCTGATTTACACCACTTCTGGAATATACTGTTGTACAGTACTCCTGAAGTTTCTTCTTCATTGTTGTAAATATTTTAGTGATGAGTAAAGAAAGAGGCTTGGTAGAACATTTTCTGGAACCCGCTATGCATCTTTGTAAGGATTTTATAGAGTTTTTGAAACCAGTACAGGTATTTAAAACTGACATATGGTTTTGAAGAATTTCCTTTTTAGAAAGGAAGCTATGACTTTTTAATTGGAAGGTAATCGTTAATGGAATGTGAGAGTTAGGGTTTTGTCTCTCAACAACTTTAAAATCTGTATTGTTGTTGCGATACCAGACCTTCCCTAAAAGGATCTATCCTTTTTACTTCTAGTTAAAAAAAACCCTACACTAAATGATTGAAACAATCTTTTTAATTTATTTCAGATCAAAAATTACTTGTGAAAAATAAGACAATTTAAAAAAAAAATCTGCATGACATTTATATCACGCTTGTCACAGTATTTTGATTAACTTATATGCACTCTGTGGTTTATGTCTAATGGGTCACAGAAAGGTCGCGATATGTTTTCTTTTAGCTTGAAGAATAATTACAGGGACATTTTTTAAAAGATATTTTAAAGAAAGATCATCAATAATAGTAAAATCATTGAATAAACATATCAATCAAATAAAACTACAAAATTATTCTAAGAAAAAAAGAGATTACATCTGAGTAGGAATAAATAGTTTGAAAACAGAACATTCAGCAGCAAAAGTGAGGAGATGATTGTTTCCTTTTATATTAAACAGGTGAAGATAACGAAGAGTGACCGGTCCAAAAAAAAAGAACAACCTAAAAACAATACTAATCTGTGAACAAGGCATAAAACTCGGCTCCCTTGAAATTCCAAAGCAGGGATCAGGTGCCTGGAAGAAATAAGCAAACCAACCCTGTCGACTAGTTAAACCCGACATGAGCCCTGTGTGTTGATCAGTTAGCTAAAAAGAATAATCCGTATCCAAATATTATAAAAACAAAGGTCTAATAATTGATATAGGACTGCATGCATGCCAGTCAAAATATAATACGACCCAATACTAGGTTGTACTATAGTATTTGCTAACAAGGCCATAATAACGACGATAAGTTTACGAATGCTAATTTTGATCGAGGTTGATGAAATCTCTGTAACATCAGTTTGTTTGTCAGTAGCCTGTCTCCGTTTAGATGATCGTTTTCGAAATATGATCTTGAGTATCGAAAATGGTGGGAGACAAAAACACCAGATGCAGATGATAGTGGAACTTTACTACATAATTAAGGAAAAGTGACGATGTAAAAAGCTGAAGTCATCTCGTTTGTTATAATGTTTAAGTGATAGTTGGCCCTTATTGTCTATAGCTATAGTCAGTAAAACATCCAAATACGAAACAGATATTAACAGACTCCATGGTGTCTTTTTTCAAGTTTACTGGGATATATCGAGTTGACATATGAATTGCAGTATCTAGTTGTTCATAGATAATACGTCGTCGATATATATCTTAATGCTGATTTGGTCAAAACAAGTGTTTGCATATTTTCTCATAGTAGCTATTGAATAATTTCTGCTTGATAGGAATATAAGAGCAGGTCTGTTCATAAAGGAGCACTGAATTCCAGCATATTATTGAAAGGTCTCGTCTTGAAAGACTGCGTAGGTTTCAATGAAGAACTTCAGCATTTTTGTTTATGCATTTTTGATATTGATTGTCAAATATGACCCAATCACCTAATTGAACACATGGTTGGAAACAGCACACTCTACTTACGGGCAGTGGAACTAAGAGTTAAGTAAAGGTCTCACTATGCTAAGGTGTGACAATAGGTAGCAATTGCAAGCAACCTTTATTCGTATATTAAACCCTACCGATCTTTATATCTTTATATAGCAACGAAATGAGAACACTTAAACAAATCCATGGATTGCTTCATTCGAATATAAAATCATTCTTAAAATAAAACTGGCATATATCAGATATTTGCCCAAGTTTGATTGAATAAGAAAAATTAAATCTTTCTAGCCAGCGATGGCTTGTTGCAAAATTCTGCAGTGTGTTAATTGGGGTGCAGCCTGGAAATAATCTTCAATCCATGACCATGGTTGATCATGAGATAAGAGCAGAAATACAGAAACAAACGATAGATAACAAACAATAACTCCCTCATATAAACATTTAAATATATCCTATGGTGATCTAAGAAATGACTGGTCCCATTAGTGAATGTCAGGAATGTTTGGGGTTGGCATGGGGATTCGAGATCGATGAACCGGAAAGGATAATACATGAAAGAAAGTGAATTTCAGGTTTTAGAAGTAAAATACATGCTTACAAATATCATTTGATCTAGATTCCAGACATGAATAATTAAATGTCTACGATGCTGCATCAAGAAAAAATATTATATGACAATCGAGGTTTATGTTTGAAAAGATTGGTAAAGAAAAGTCATTTAAATTCAAACATTAAAATGGCAATTTTAATGCCATTAATTAGCCAAAATTTCATTTCCTTATAATTGAAATTTCGTTTTTCACGAGTATTTGTCTTAAACATTTAAGCTAACCTTTAACAATGGACTTGTTATTAAAATCTTACCTTTTATTCTAAAGATGATTACTTTGTCCTACTGACATAGATTTGGTATGCCTTCAGTTTGTACATATTTAGATATATTCTATTAGCGTTGATATATTAATGTTATGAAATGAAGAAAAAAAAAACATGAGAAAATATAGCAATTGTTCCGAATTTTTTTTATTACAATTATTATTCAATTCAGAATAATTAGCGCTGTTTGTTATCAAGCCTAGATATCATCTCTTCTGCTAATCATTGTTATTTTGGTTGGTTTATATAATTCTACAATGTGTATTTCATGAAGCATAAAATGTGTAAAATATATTGATGCGTTGACTGTTTATTGAGTCCGCTCTTGTCCGTATTTTTATTACTATAAAACAGTTCATAATATTTTTTATTTTAAAACAGATGAAACACTTGATGAAAACTATTTTTCACGTGCAGGAATAGTCAATGTTGTACTTTTCAGCTGTTATAGATTTCTTTCCCTTTGTCCAATTTCCATCTGCAGTTTCTTTCAGTAGCCATCAATTATTCAAATAACTGTAGTAAAAGGAATTATTTACAGCGTTCAAAATTTGTTTCGATTGGCTAACAACATATGAATATATAAAACGAATAAATTTCAATACAGCAGTTGCCGTTGTGCAATGATAAAATTACAGGAGATTTTTTTTCAGTGATGTATCCCTCCACTTTTTGTATTATTTTTGAAAAATTCTTATAGAATGTAAAATCGTTTTAAAAAACAATAACCAATGGCCGTTCTGCACAATACAATGGTATACTGCTTTCAATTTATACCAGAATTTCAGAACAAAGAAATTTGAAATTGAAATCGCTTCCTACATGTTATTTGTTGGTAAGAATCGATCAATGCCTCCTTTGCACTATGAAAAATTTAATTGATGAAAATATTCAA